TGTGCCAGGGACCCCAGCCCGTTCTCCCCGACTTGTGCCGCCTCTGAGCACAGTGTCCCTGAGCCCCCGGAGCCGAGACCCGGTCAGCAGCTCCAGGCCGGGCCCTGCTGCCCAGCGCGCGGTGCCTGACCGGGACCAGAAGTCCATCTTCACAGCCGGCCCCCAGGACGGTTCCAGGGCAGCCTGTTGGGGTCCGGCCTCGGGCTGACTGCCCCCCTCATGCTCACCATGTTTCTCCTCGCGCCCTCGTGCTGGCGGCTGCCGGCTTGTCCCCAGCACCTTAGCCCCAGCGTCGGAAGAGCCCGCTCATGCCTGGCCAGGTGCCTGAGAGTGCCCGCAGGTGCACACGCCCCAGTGCCCATAGTGCCTGGCACAGACCCCGTAAGACACCCCCATGAACCAGGAGGTCACGGTTCCATTCCCGGTCAGGGCACATGCCCAGGTTGCGGGCTCCATCCCCAGTGTGGGGCGTGCAGGAGGCAGCTGACACATGATTCTCATCGTTGATGTCTCTCTCTCTGAAATCAATAAAAAAAATTTTTAAAAAGACACCCCCTTTCCCAGCCCAGGGCCTGCCCCCAGGTTACCCCACTGCCCCCTACGGAAGACACTGGGCAAGTCCAGGCTGCTTTGCCAACCTCATGGGCACGAGCCAGACACACTGCACCTCCCAGTGCCCCGGCCCCACAGGAGGACAGACGGGACAGTCCTCAGATGTGACCTGGGGTAGGGGCCCTGTGACAGGGACCAGAGGGGCTCCTGGCCCAGGCAGAGGGGCCCCATGAGGAGGGACCAGCTGAGCAGGAGCCTGAGGCCTTGGCCGCCCTCCTCCCAGCTCCTCGGCCTCTCCCACCACCATGAGGACTGTCCCTGAGCCACCATCTTAGAGTGGCTGCGGGAAGGGCTTCTTGATCGGGCCATGCAAGCTGGGTCCTGGTGGTTGTGTAGGAGTTTGCAGCCGGAGAAACACAGGAGAGGCCTGACCAGTGGAGCCCCTCGTCCCCTCACCCGCCCTCTGGGCTCAGGGTGGGGCCAGACCTGGGCACCGTCCACCTCCCCTTCACTCGCCCCGCAGTCAGGGGCAGTGTGGCCCCTTCACCCCCCGAACCTCATTGCTGTCCCTCCCCCCGCTCCACCCTGGCTCCGCCACCAGGCCTCAGATCCTCTCTGAGCGGCCCCTCTGCCCTTCCTCCGGGCACACACCCCCTGCCCCGTAGGCAGCCCTGCCGCACACCGGTCCCCCCCCTCCCCAAACCCTCCCTGCGCCTCCCCACTCATCCGGGCCCTGATGCGCAGCCCCACCTTCTTATGGCTGTGGCTCGGGCGCTGCCTTTGACCAGGGTAGCTCCTGTCTGCCTGAGCCGTGCCCGTGTCTGAGCCGTGCCCATGTCAGCTGTGTCCGTGTCTGACTGTGAACTCCCTGAGGAGTCAGTCCAGCCTTTCCTCCTGGCACCTCTGCGGTGCCTGCCCTGCAATCAACGCCAGGCTCTGCCCTGCGGAGCTCGCGGCCCGCGGGGCAGCAGGGACACACAGCAGCCACCATGTGGTCAGCACCGTGGCGGGGACAGGCAGGGACTCACTCGGCGCCTGGACCGGCCCTGCAGTCAGGAGGGCTTCCTGGAGGGGGTGGCACCTGGCTCACTTGTGTCCATTCCTACTGTCCAGCCACCCAGTTCCAGGCTCTCCACGGCCAACCGTTGGTGCCTAGAGATGGGGGTGTGGGAACGCTCCCCAAAGGTGGGCAGGTGGGGCGTGGGGGGCAGGGGCTCCCCACCATCTGGTCATCAGCAAGTTCAGTCCTGAAGCAATCTGGATGGAGCCGTCAGTGTGGCCAAAGCAGCTCGCTGCGTCCCCTCCCCCGCCCTGGGAGGCTGGAGGATGGAGGCCGAGCTTCTGGGCCAGAGGCCAAGGGCAGCCGCTCCACTCCGAGCCTCAGTTTCCTGCCCCCACTCCGTGGGTGCTGTGGGGATGCCAGGAGATGCCAGCCAGAGCGTAGTCCGCTCGGGGTGGGGTGCAGGGCGGGAACAGGAAAAAGGCAGGGACCCAGGGCGGGCCCGAGCCCCATCCCCAGCTGGAGGCCTGGCGCCACCTGCTGCCGGATTCGGGGAGCGGCTCCTGGCTGGGCTCAGGCTGCAGGCCCTGCTCCTCCTGGGAGGCTGGACAGGCTTCTGGGGTGTCCCCGGGGCCCTACGGTCTACAAGAGCCACCTCTGACCTCGGACCCCCTCCAGAGCTGGCCCGGCAGTCAGACCAGCACCCCCAGCTGAGCCAGGGCCACGCGGCACCATGGGACCCGGCTGTCACCCAGGCCAGGACCAGGGTGGGTGGCCAAGGCCAGTGTCTCAGGGTGCCCTCACTCTCGGGGACCCACGGCGGGACCAGCCTGTCCATCAACACGGTGGGCCCAGAGCCAAGGGCCACACACTGTTTGGGTCCATGGAGCGCTTTCCCTTAAATCCCTTTTAAAACCCAGAGGGCAGCCCTGGCCAGGGCGGCTCAGCTGGCCGAGCGCCGTCCCTGCTGGAAAGGTGGCCAGTTCAGTGACCGCTCAGGGCCCGCGCCCAGCTCGCAGGTTCAATCCCCGGTCGCGATGCGTGCGGGAGGCACCGATCGTTGTTTCTCTCTCCCAACGATGCTGCTCCCTCTCCCTTCCTCGCTCTGTAAATAAAACAGCTACTTAACGCCCCAAAGGAAAGTGCACATAGGGACGGTGAATCTATGAGGCTGTATATGGAACAGACGATATGCAGTGAGTGTGCGTACTCACTGAGGAGGGTTGTGTCCTTAGCAGTAACACATTCCGCCTGCGGTCTACCCAATTACAGCATCCGTGTGTGATCTGTTTTAAGGAGGAGAGACCCTCAGCCCC